TGCAGTCACGAAAGCTTTAAATCAAAATTTATCAGAGTATGTTTTTGTTTGCATTCTGACCACAAGTATTGTGGTTAATACACACATGATTCCTTGCAAAAAGGTTTCAGTTTGGTGTCTTAACATCTTAACACCTGTTTTGTTGCCAGAAAAAAGGGGAAAACTTATTATCGTAGATCATCTTTTTTCAAAGTAATAGTGAAACGTTGTGGATATGTGTGAGTTTGTCGTACGTGGGTGCAGTGGGTGAGCGGTGGGTGGCGCAATGGTTAGCGCAGTGGGTGAGCGGTGGGTGGCGCAGTGGTTAGCGCAGTGGGTGAGCGGTGGGTGGCGCAGTGGTTAGCGCAGTGGGTGAGCGGTGGGTGGCGCAGTGGTTAGCGCAGTGGGTGAGCGGTGGGTGGCGCAGTGGTTAGCGCACTGCGTGGCGAACTCGGTGGCGGCTTTCCTGAAGTTCGATTCCCGCTCCCGACCAATAAATATATTTTAACTTGTCCCAGATCTCACCATAGGTCGACTCGGCCTTAAATTAGTGCACAGGTGATGCGGATTGCAATACATGAGCACTGGGGGGACAAGAGCGGGGTGCTGTGGCCACCCACAAAGGCAAAGACACAGGTCCCCTGTATAGCCTTTACAGACTATGGGGGCATGTGCTGTTAGCGAGCACCTTTGAAGGCTGGCACAGCACACGAGGGGGGGGGTGTGGCCAACACCACGCCCGGCCGCCTTTGTCTGGCGATGTTTAATTGTCGCAAACATGTGTCATTTGAGGCTGAGTCGACCTCGGGGAGAGGCCCAGGACCGGTTCAGATAATCGTCACTGGTGTTGGCCGTGAGCGGGAATGGAACCCGGGTGGCCGGGTTCGTACGCAGCGCGCTAACCACTGCACCACCGCTCCCCACTAACCACCAACACCCCTCGTGTGTCATGCGGGCCTTGATAGCGCTAGCCTCGACAAGTCTGTTTTTTTGTCTTCGTCCTTCGTGGCGTGGCCACCATCATCCATTCAAATCGACAAGGCCCTCCCAGCAGCTTCAATTGTGTACGCAGAGGCCGCTCCTAAGGGCCCGGCGAAATCGGGACGAATCGCCCGGGGCTGTGCTGAGGAGCTAACTCACACGTGCACGGGCGATGCCAACCGACGCCACTCCGAACATGTCACGGATGAACCGGGTGACGCTGATTGCCGATAATAATGAACCCCGCTCGCCCCGACTCTGGTTACGTAAGCGCCCCTCCTGTGTCCCAGCGGACCCAACTGAGAAACTGCGAACAACAAAGCGGGAACATTTCGAGAGCGATCGGAGATCAGCCGCCGAGCCGATGTGAACCGCCTTGCAGACGATTCACGGTTCAATTCCGGCGACGGGCGGTCGGATAATTCATGTAGCAGTAAGCGGTGAAGTAGCGTGATTGGTTGCCACGAGCCCTCGTGCAAGGATTAAACTAAACTAGATTATTTTATTTTACCAGGTAAAGGACACCGAGTTGTGAGCTCTTTTTCAGAGGCGACCTGGCCACGCATGGTAGGTCATCGAAGTGAAGTATCATCATAATCATCATGCGTGGGGATTCATAGTAGCAGCCAAATAATCTAAACGCACGTTGACTCTAAATGTGGAGGGGGGAAACCGGACGACTCGGAGAAAAATAAACGCGACCACGACGGGGAGCGAGAGAACACACGGCCTCGAAATATACAACAGGCATCGTCGGGGTCCGGGATCGAACCCATGCGTACCAGGCAAGGGAGATTGTATCTCCTCGCCACCGCGGAATGAAATGGGAGTCCCCTCCGAACGTTCCCTTCCCGTCTCTCGGCGTCATTCCAAGCATGCGTCGCTCCACCCTTGCACTTTTAAGCTTTCGTTCAACTGTCTTTAAAAATATATATATCCGTAAAACAGACTGAGGAAGTAAACGATCGACCATAAACGGTGTAGCTAATAACTGCATATAGCATATATATTAATATGCTATTATATGCCTATATTCTTGGTTCTTTCGGTAAAGTCACGTAGAAAGAACCAAGAATATGAATCCCTGCAGTCACGAAAGCTTTAAATCAAAAGTATATGCCTACTTTAATATATAATTTAAATTTTAATCGTCGCGGTTATTCAAACAATCCGAGAATGCACTCCAGGAGGGTTCTGCTCACCTACAGTGGATTTAAACAGTTAAACACACTTAGGTATATGTTGAAATATCATTATACTCATGTTAATTATTGAGAGGTCAGAGGCCTACATTGACCTGGATGCGAATCCGAACCTTTACAAAGGGGTCTCAAGTGTAGTGAGTTGATGGTCTCAGCCTGGGGTAAGCGCTGTTAGCGATCACCGTGACTAACCACCGACCACTACACTAAAGAAACAGGTCTCCACGTGTAGCCTTCACAGACTGTCGGGGCAAGTGCTGTTAGTGAGCACCTTTGATGGCCGGCACGGCACACGAGGGGGTGGGTGACCAGCACCACGCCCGGTCGCGTTTTGTCTCCCGAGCGACAATGTCTACGCACCGTACCAGGTGTTCATTTGAGGCTGAGTCGACCTAGGAGAGTCCCAGGACCGGTTCAGATCATCATCACCGAGGAGTTGGAGTGGGGTACAGACCCACCTCACCACCACCACCCAACGCCTAACCGTTCGGGCTCCGCTTGGGGTTGTTCCTATAGAACCCAGAGAGTGCGCGGCTCCTCCGGTCAATAAACGAGGCACGCGTGAAAACATTTTGTTTCCTTTGTGAGGCATGACCCGCATCCGAACTTTGCGAGCGGCTCGATTACTCAAATCTCCAACAAGCGGCGGCTCGGTGTTCCAGACCAGACGTCGTCACGCCTTTACGTCTCACGCTCGCTCACCAGCTTGCGTCTAAACGTGCAGAGAGTACGCTTCAGTTTAACACGTAGGAGGATTTCGCGACCAATTTCAATTGATAATACAGGGGTGGTTTTTGGGTTTGATCGTGTAACTATATAAATATATATAAATATAGAAATGCATCGTTAAAAACGCCACCACCCGACACAGCCAACTAGTAAGATTTGTCACGTTAACAGAACGTGCCAATTCGTTACGAGCACAGCACACCGGTGTGTTGGAGAGCAAAGCCACAACATTTAGATTCTAACGAATTGGCATGTTCTGTTTACGTGACAACCCTTACTAATTGACTGTGTCGGGTGGTGGTGGGTGTCACGACACATTTATATATTTACGCGATCTATCCCAAAACACATGCATCAACTACGCTTCAGCACACGATGTGTGGGTGGCCCTGGTGCGTGCGTGCGTGTGTGTGCAATGTGGTGCCAGCGGTGTCAAGATCGGCCTTTGTTATGAGGGTGGCTCGCGAGGGACGCCACTGGGTCAGTTGGAGGCAGTCCGCCCTCCAACAACAACGCAGGGCAGAGGAGCGACGCTCACAACAACGAGCGGCGCGCCGGGCGATACAAGGCTACAAGTTGGCACAGTAGTGGAGGGGCACAGCTGGTGCATCTGACAGTCATCTCAGTGAGCCAACCCATGGCACATGGGGTCTGTCCCGTGACCTCCTGTCAGCGTGCCCTCGGCACTTCACGTGACGGCATCCAAGTGCACCTAGCCTGGCACAGGCGCCGTAGGGACGTCACCATCACCGGGTCACAACCTCTGTGCTATGATCCCCCCCCCAGCCCCTGCCACGTTACTCATAGCCACAGGAAGGATCCCATGTCTACGATTATAGCCAACGCGGTGCTGATGATGAGGACTGTGTTTCAACCTTGTGCGTTCGCGTGTGTTGTCGCTGTTTTCCGGCGCACATTCGAAATGCGCCCTGCACTGTATCCACGTCAGAGCCTCTGCACCTCCACCCTCTGAAAAGTCTTTCGTACCCAACCGCTCCCTGGCAATAGTCTAGGAAGCGCTTGTGTGTCATAGTGGAGCGTTGTTTGTACCGCGTGTGTGTATGTATATACGTAGAGAGCAGTCGTGTAGCGGATAGCGCTACGCTGCGCTACGAACCCAACGACCCGAGTTCGATTCCCGCTCACGGCTAACACCAGTGACGATTATCTGAAACCGGTCCTGGGCATCCCCTAGGTCGACTCAGCCTCAAATGAGTACCTGGTGCTGTGTGTAATAAACATCGCCATTAGGGAGATAAAGGCAGCCGGGCGTGGTGCTGGCCACTCACCCCCTAGTGTGCCGCACCGACTTTAATAGGTGCTCGCTAACAGCACTTGCCCCAACAGTCTGTTTAGGCTATGCGAGGGATATTTGTATTTGTATGCATAATACAATCAGAGGGCTTTGTCAATCCACTGATGGACGATTGGCCTTCCCACGCTTTTGCTGCTCGTACGGGTTGTTGACCATACTTCACCACGTTTGTCAATGCTGGATGATGAATGGAGTGTGGGGAATGGGAGCGAGTTACAACCGGTCCAGATATCATCTCGCCAGTAACACTGTGTTGGCCGTGGTCGGGAGTCGAACTCGGGTGGAAAGTTCATCGGAGTGCATTGCGCCAACCACTGCGCCACCGCTCCCTCCGAGTGTGAGCGCGCGCATGGGAATGTGTTGGGGGGGGATCGGTGGCACGGTGGTTTACGCACTGCGCTCAGCCACGGCTAACACCGCTGGCGTGTGATATGTGAACCAGTCCTTGGCATCTAAACAGTACCACGAGGGCGACCAGGCGTGGTGTTGGCCACCCAGCCCCTCGTGTGCCGTGCCGGCCTTCATATAGATGCTCGCTAACAGCACTTGCCCCAAGAGTCTGTTAAAGCCAATTTGGGGGGGGGGGGGCTTTGTATACTTGTGCTCGTGTGTGCCCATGCGCGTGCCTGTGTGTGCGTGAGTACCGATATGTAAACATAAATACTGGGGAGACAAAGGCGGCCGGGCATGGTGCTGGTCACCACCCCCTCGTGTATCCGTTTTGGCCTTCATAGGTGCTCGCTAACCGCACTTGCCCCAACAGTATGTTAAGGCTATACGGGGGATCTTTGTCTTTGCGTGTATGTGCGCGTGCGTGCGTGCCCTGTCCGTATCCCCTTACATAACTGCGAGGCGGGCAGTCAAAAGGTGGCTGAGTGGACAAGACTGCGTCACAGAAGGAGTGGTTGACGATGGCGGTGGGCAAGTCGTATAAAGCTCTGCGCCACCCGCAGCCGCCGCCACCAGAAGCGGAGCAGATACAAACAATACCCCCCGTCACCAATTACCTCCACACCCTTCCTCCATTCGTCCTCGCCACCCTCAATCGTCTCGCCGGCTGCACCGCAACCCCCTTCCCCTGCAAACCCCCACACCCGCCACAAAACGATCTCACTCCCAACGCAAATGTCTCGGCGCTCTTCTCGCCCCGACACGGCGCTCTACCCGAGCCGCGGCGAGATGTACGAGTCGTGGCGCGGCGGCGTCGCGTGCCTCTGCGTCGCGATCTTCTTCCTCATGACCGTGGCTATCATCTACTGGCAGGTGGTGGACACTCCCGAGAGGGCGTGGGCCCTCAAGGCGGCGTCGCTGCGCAGCGGCTTGGCCTGGGACGCTCGCGCGCTCCGTCTCGTGCTGGCCCGGCACCACGTTCAGCGCGACGATCGCGATGGTGACGTTGATCGCGATGATGGTGGTGGTGGTGATGAAGACGCGTCGACAGAGGTGGTGGTGGAGGAGGAGGAGGAGGAGGAAGATGACGATGGCGGTGGAGATGTTCCGATCTCGAGCGCATCTCAAATTGGAGATCTCCTGGAAATCCGCTGCGCCGCGGTCAATGTGCCGGACGCAGGAGAGGAGGTGAAGAAGGTTGCGTGGAACTCGAGACGAGCGACTTGCGTCAGCAGGGAAAGTGGTCAACAGCAGCATCAGCAACGCCAACACCAACAACACAATCATATTAATCACCAACATAATCGTCACGAGCATGCTTCGCCGTCTTCATCGACGACCTCGCAAAAAGCATCATCATCATCGGCAACATCGTCATCGTCGCCTTCGTCGCCACCCGAGTTTTGTGAGAGGTGGGAGGCTGGGGAGGAGTTGCGCGTGAGGGCGGAGAGCGTGGATGCTGGAGGACACTTGGACTGTTACCACGTGGAGTGGACCTACCCGGACTGTCGCTCCACACTGCAGGTACTGCATACGGATGGACCTGTGTAAGTCTTTGTCTCTGTGAGTCTACGGGGAGCGGTAGCGTAGTGGTTAGCGCTACGCTACGAACCCGGCCGCCCGAGTTCGATTCCCGCTCACGGCCAACACCGGTGACGATTATCTGAACCTGGTCCCCAGCCTCCCCCCTAGGTCGACTCAACCTCAAATCGTTACCTGATGCGGTGTCTGAGCACCAGCTATGCTGCCGGGCTTGGTTCAGGTAACACCATCGGTGGTCACTTACAGCCCTTGCCCCAACAGTCTGTTGAGGCGAAAGGGAAATTTTTGTATGTACGTGTGTGTTAAATATTGACGTAAAGCTTTCGTGACTGCAGGAATTCATATTCTATCTACGTGACTTTACCGAAAGACCCAAGAATACGTCTGTGCTGTTTACACGTATATATTTTTTTGTCAAAACATGTTTCCACTCCACTGCTGGATGACGGCCTCTCCGCACTCGTGCGGATCGTGCGTGGGGGTGCTGTTATTTTTTTCACCAGACTTCACGCCGATCAGCGCCGGTTGGTGATGGGCAGCATCGGCGTGGGGGCATAGAAGGATAGCACAACACTCTTCTGATAATGTTGCCTTGCAGCAGCCTATAACACCTTTTATGCACGGTGGTCGCCCGCCCGCGCACTGTCCAGGCTCAACTCTGCTTGGCTTCTGAGATCGGGCGCATGTATGAGTGGCTGATGATGGATGCACTCGGCCCCGCCATAGGAAATGTGTAATTTCCGTCACTGGATAACCTTAGTTTGAGCACAAATCAATAATCACTTTCGTGTGTGTGTACGTATGTAGTCCATGAGCCCAAACAGGATATTACATTTATCGGTACCCACCTGACCGAGCGTGATATTGGTCGTTCCAATTTCTTTATGTGGCCAATAACAGTACGTTATGTGATAACAAATTAGAAATTAATGTTACCAAACAATTAACTTTTATCAGCCATGAAAATGCATCGGTACATACTACGACAGGTGTGTTACCTTGGGTGGTACCAACTTTTGCTCCGGCCCAATGAATAATATTAATTGATGGTACATGGGACATCTAAATCGTATCACTGTTGATCGGTGTAAGCCTCCCACCAGTTCACTTGGAATGCGCCGGATTTGGTCATATCTCGGCAGCTACGCTTCCACCGAGGTTAACTTAGCTTCAAAAGTAATGACATGGTGATGGGGTCCAGGACAAACCTTCCTGCATTGCATTGTGCCAGCAACATTTGATCGTTTAACTAGAACTATAATTGCTTGTTGGCTGGTACTCAACGGTTACTATTAGTGTAACTTCACTTGTCTATTTAAAAACTGGTAAACAGAAACATGGTTTAAATGAATTTCTAATTAGGACACATGGGGTGAAGCTCAGACGCCAAACCTTATTAACTGCATCTCTCTGGGCTATGTGCTATGAAGAAGGGCCCTTGCTCGAAACGTCGCAGATTTTTGGTAGGTGGTGTGATGTGCAAACAGCGCCCGTTGGGTGTGGTGCCAACGTTAATATGTGCTCGCTAACAACACTTTCCTCAACATCGACTCACGATGATCATGATGAAGGCTGTTATTTGTTTTTATGTATTCTTGTAACAGTGACCAATGCTTCTGAAGATCAAACCAATGATGATTACGACACTGGTGGTGGCGATGATAAAGTTGTGATGATGATGGATAATGATGATGACTTACGCTGCTGATAATGATGTTGAGAGTGAATATTAATTATCCTGTTGTTGCTGCTGCCACTGCTGATGATGATGTTGCTGCTGCTGCTGATGTTGTTGTTGCTGATGATGTGTCTTGTAGAATTGCTTCGTGCTGCCGAACGGCACGTGGTTTGGCTGGTCCCCCGATGGGCACGCGTCCTGGCCCCTCGCGGACTCGGGCTCACACTCGGACGGGAGACACCGGCGAGCCCCGTGGCGTGCACGGGAGGGGTACTTCCTGGGGTCCACAGGTACCGATCCCCTTATTCCCCCACCCCTCCCCCCTAGCCCCCGAGATAGCCCCTCCCCTCGCGGTTTCACGATGCAGCTGCTCCGTGTAGGTAGCTTCTGCACGAGAGCTGATTCCGCGAGCTGATTCCGCCGCTCCATCTTCGTGATGGTCGGCCTCGCGAGCGGTCTTTCCTCCTTTGGCCGCACCTCCGTCGCCAGGCTCGACCACTTCGCGACCTATTCTTCCCAAGCCCACTGCATTTTCTTAACAGTCAATGGAAAATTACTTATTGAGTTGATTCAATCTTTTCCAACTCTTTGTCATTCAATCAGCCGTGGCATGGAATCAAACTCAGACCACTGGGTTCATTGTAGATCCATCCCCATAATAAGAAATAATAATAATGATGCAAAAATATGTATCTAGGAAAATCTCTTTGATTCTCAAGGGTCATGTTCAGAGAGGGCCCTGCCACGAGAAACCCACAAGGGGATGGCACTCACCATAAGTACAATTACAGTACTCTATAGAGTGCAATGTAATCGAGGGAATGTGTTGTATTGATGCTGTCTTAGATTTGTGTTGTTGTTGTTTTGGGCTTTGCCCCATGCTTGCATTTGGTGTTGACAAATCTGCAGGAATATATGTTCTTGTACAATTTGTACTTCCATATCTATTTGAGTGACTCTCTAGACTCGTCTCTTTCTTCCTCTTGTATCCTGTATTGACCCGGCCCTGCTGGACATGTGAGAAAAAAAGAGCTTCGTCGCTTATCAGATTCCCCCAGGACGAATAAAGATTCTGATTATGATTCTGACTACCTTCTCCTGGCCACACCTCACAGCCCCAGCGCGCTAACCGATACGCTACCGCTCCCCTACACACATACACAAACAAATAACAAATATCCCCCGTATAGCCTGTAACAGACTGTAGGGGCAAGTGCTGTTAGCGAGCACCTATGAAGGCCGGAACGGTACACGAGGGGGTAGGTGGCCAGCACCACGCCCGACCACCTTTGTCTCCCCAGTGGCAATGTTTTTATCCACCGCACCAGGTACTCATTTGAGGCTGAGTCGACCTTTGGGAGGCCCAGGACCGGTTCAGATAATCGTCACTGGGTGTTGGCCGTGAGCGGGAATCGAACCCGGGTCGCTAGGCTCATAGCGCAGCGCGCTAACCGCTACACTACCGCTCCCCTACACACATACACAGAGATCAAATATCCCCCATATAGCTTTAACAGACTGTAGGGGCAAGTGCTGTTAGCGAGCACCTATGAAGGCCGGAACGGTTACACGAGGGGGGTAGGTGGCCAGCACCACGCCCGACCGCCTTTGTCTGCCTAGTGGCAATGTTTACACACCGCACCAGGTACTCATTTGAGGCTGAGTCAACCTAGGGGAGGCCCGGGACCGGTTCAGATAATCGTCACTGGTGCAGTGCGCTAACCACTACACTATCGCTCCCCACAACACATACACACACACTTACACACACATACACACATCCACACACACACATACACACATACAAACACATACACACAAACACACATACACACATCCACAAAGACAAAGATCCCCCATATAGCCTTAAAATACTGTAGGGGCAAGTGCTGTTAGCGAGCACCTATGAAGGCCCACACACACATATATACACACAGACATACACACATCCACACACACACATACACACATACAAACACATACACACAATACGAAGTAGCACAATACAAAACATTACAAACAATTGCAATGGTCAATCACATTTTCTCCTATCAGAGCTTTGAAATCGAAGTTGGGTTTTCCGGGATTCAAGATGAAGCGCTGTTCACCGCTGAATCTCTGCGTGTGTGTGTGCTTTTGTCAAGCCCCTATGTTAAATTGCTACGGCGCGTACACACAGGCGTGGCCCGTGCCTGTGTCTACACAGTGCAGGCGTGTGTGTGTGCGTGTGTGTGTGCGTGCAATATCTTTTCATCGGTTGCGTAACGCTGTGTGGAAGCTACCTGGTCTGTCGCTCCGCACTAAGCTTCAGGTCTTCTCGGCCACGATCATTCCCTCCCTTCTCTACGCTTGCGAAACGTGGACCCCCCTAATGGAACATCTTCGCCGGTTAGAAACATTTAGGCTGGCCTGCCTACGATCCATCCTGGGTTTAACCAGACTGGATTGTGTGAGGAGCTCACAAATCCTTGAAAGATCTGGGCAAGGTCCAATCGGTGAGCTCCTCCGGCAGGCAAGGCTGCGATGGCTGGGTCATGTAGCCCGCATGCCCAGCCACCGCATGCCGAAACAGCTTTTGTTTGGCCGGATTGAGGGGGCTAAGCGGGCGCGGAACGGGCTAGAGAAGAGATGGAGTGATGTGGTACAGGAGGACGTGGAGCTGAGTGGACTTGCCGATGACTGGTACCAGCGGTGTCAAGATCGGCCTCTGTGGAGGAGGCTCGTGAAGGACGCTACTGGGCAGTTGGAGGCAGTCGCCCTCCAACAACAACGGAGGGCGGAGGAGCGACGCTCACAACAACGAGCGGAGCGCCGGGTGGCTAAAGCACAGCAGGTTGGCACAGTAGGGGGCACAGGTGGTGCATCAGCCAGTCATCTCTGTCAGTCGACCCGTGGCACCTGCTGGGTCTGCCCCGTGACCTCCTACCAGCGGGCGTTCGACACTTCACGTGGCCTCAAGGTGCACATAGCCTGGCACAAGCGTCGTGGTGACGTCACCGCCACTTAGTGGCGAATGGCGGTTGTTGTTGTTGTTTATGTGTGTGTATGTGTGTGTGGGGAGCGATAGTGTAGCGGTTAGCGCGCTGCGCTATGAACCTGGCGACCCGGGTTCGATTCCCGCTCACGGACAACACCAGTGACGATTATCTGAACCGGTCCCGGGCCTCCCCTAGGTCGACTCAGCCTCAAATGAGTACCTGGTGCGGTGTGTAAACATTGCCACTAGGGAGACAAAGGCGGTCGGGCGTGGTGCTGGCCACCCACCCCCTCGTGTACCGTTCCGGCCTTCATAGGTGCTCGCTAACAGCACTTGCCCCAACAGTCTGTTAAGGCTATATGGGGGATCTTTGTCTTTGTTTTCTATGTGTGTGCGTGTGTATGTGTTTTTTGTGTGTGTGTATGTGTGTGTGTTTTGTGTTTCCCCGCATCGCTGCTCCCGAATGCATTCGTGGTTAAAGCGCGATGGGTAAGGGGGTACGAAGCGAGGGGAGGAGGGGGTCCCAGGGAGGAGCGTGAAAGGTCCCTACAAGTGGCGTAGCGTGGTTGGCATGGCCCCCTCTCCACCCCGCTTAGTAGCCACACGCCTGGGCAGCTCTGACCCATAGACCACGCTGGATGCAATTGGACTGCCTGTGCACTCGCTAGCTTACGCCACTGGCTCCCAACTCTGTCGCTCGTATTTATTCTCCTCGTCTCTATCTCTGTCTCTCGACTCTCTCATCGTGTCTCTGCTCGTCTCGGTCTCTCTCTCTGCATGCTGAGAAGAGGGTGCGTCTCCCCGTGCTCCAAACGTTGCCATTACCTACTGGTGAGGGCCTAGTTTTTCATCTGCATCCTAGCCTCACCTGAGAGAGTTTCTTGTTTTTTCCCGGCGACCCCTTTCACTCTCCGAGCTCTATCGAGTGCTCATCATCTCTCATCCAGCTCTGTGAGTGTCGACAACAACACAGGCTCGTGCTGTCTCCCACCTCTGTATCCCGTTCTCTTAACACACTCGTATCTCGGCAGGCCTGTGGCCTGCTCACAGCCCTAGCTCTTACCACCCTTCCTCCCCCTCTGTTACATCCTTCCTATTTTTTGCTTTATTGCAAATGCAGTGACATCGCGGGGTGTCACTGTGTAATGCCGGCCCTAGAGAGGCACGGCGTGCGGTGTAACGACATCGCGGATACCACTTGGATGTGGGGTTACTAAATGCCGTGGCACTCTGGTTGACCCGAGAGGACACGTGACCGGTTAAGTCTACAAACGGGCACCAAGTGGGGGCTAGGGGTGGTCACGTGGTCAGGGTCCAGATCCTGCTCGAGGATTCTGGAAGGTGGTCGTGGCCAAGGGCGGAGCCAGCCATGCCGCAGAGAACACAAGCCGGGTCCCCCTGGACCTGAGCTGGTCCCGGTCCGTAGTGGCTAGTTACGGCGCGTGTCATCGCCACCTCCTCGCCTGGGCAAAAAGTGCTCATATCCAACGCGCCACCTTTCCTTAAAATTGGCGACCTACAACGAGACCTTGAGCGGTTTGGCAAAGTTGTGTCCCGCATCATTATGCTGCCCTTGCACACATGGGACCCAGCACTGGAGCACGTCTTGTCGTTTCAGCGGCAAACTTTATGATTTTAAACGCCAACAACACGGAACTTAACGTGAATTTTAAGTACACGACGGAAGGCTACGCCTACACTGTGTACACGTCCACCGCGTTGCCGCGCTGCTACCAGTGCGGTGGCTTCGGCCATGCCCATGCAAACTGCACGGGCAAATCAAAAGGAAAAAGCGTGCAGCCTGCCTGCAAATAACGTCACGCAGCAGCAGCGCCAGCAGCAGCAGCAGCCGCCACAGCCTGTGCAGCGGCAGCAGCAGCCACAGCAGCAGCATCAACAGCAGCCACCGCAGCCTCAGCAGCAGCAGCCACCACAGCACAAGTGCCAGCTGTTGCAGCAGCAGGCCGCTGATTCGGTGACCGGTCGTGCAAAACCGCCGACCTACGATGAGGATGATGACGGCTTCGCCCTCGTCACCTCGCGCACGCGCAGGGTGAAGCCCGGCCCCGGAGGAGGAGGAGGCCACACAGCCCCTAACCCTAAGCGCGCGGCCACCGCCGATCACGAGCCCTACCCACAGGTCACAGAACAAGACGAGCAACACCCCCCAGCGAGCGCCGTCCTAGACGGCGCTCGCTGGGGGGTGTTGCTCCTAGACGGCGCTGTGGGGGGTGTATATGAAGACATGCTCGATGACGACCTGCCTGAGGACAGCACGGTGGGAAAAGCGCCGCTGTCACCGCCACAAGCTGC